GGACCCATATTTAGAGAACTACCCACTTCTGCATCGTTGAAGCACGAGTAGGCGGTGGGTGGCAAGACCTCGAAACACCTCTAAAATGTAGAGCCCATGTCCACCCTGAGACCCTAAATGCAAAAACCCAAGTCAAAATCCAAACAATAAGACCCTAAACCCCAATGGCCCTTGCAGGACCCTCAAGGTATAACCCTTAAAGAACCCCTTCGGACACCATTGAAGGCATCCAAAACCCCATCCTCGCCTCAGCCCTCCGAGGCAATCCATCGTATGAAGACCGTCTTGCCGGCATCCACATTCTCCTGGTCTCAGGGGCTTTGGGCTTTAGGGGCTTATGGTTGAGGGGTTCAGGGCTATAGGGTTTAGGGGCTCAGGGTTTAGGCAGAACGCTTCTTGGTTTGGGGGTTTAGGGCTGTAGTGGTTTATAGGGTTTGGGCGGAATTTGTCTATGGACTCGGGAGGCCTGGCATTTACGCTTTGGGGTGCTTCATCGCAGGGCTGGTGCATAAACATTGGAACACTAGTAGGAGTCACCACAAGACCCCGTAGTCCTTGCTTATCCCGCTTCCCACGATCTCATTCCTGGAAGTTGGCACAGTTTCGACTGTACAAAACCACAAACAAGACTCTTGCCCCAGTCCTTTGCAAATCTTAAGAACCTGGCTCTTGCGGAAATCCTCTGCCCCTGCATTTTGTACCTTCACAATCTCCGAAATTCCTGAAGTCTCTTCTGCTAAACGCGAAGCATCCTGAATCTCCAATCCCCTGTCGGAAAAGGTTGCCCTGGAGCTCTACACCCGACAAACATCGAACAAAAACAACGTGCCAATCCCAGACCCAGAACTGCGAAACTAAGCTCCGCTGCTCTTGTCAAATTGGGTGGTAAAATGTGAAAGAGTTTCGGTGAGGTTGTGGGCTGTCCGTTGCTTAGCACCACTGCGAATCCTATGGCTAACGGTTTGCACACTACTCTCACACTGCTACCGCTTACAGTGCTACATGCACTTATGTTTTCCGCCCACTCCCACTGTTAGCCCGGGGGCGCGATCCTTAACAATGATGCTGCTTGTTCTTGCTGCTGCTTTGGTAATCAGGTGCGTTGCTGTTGCTGTCGCTGCTACTACTTCCACGGTATGACGACGATCATACTTCAACGAAGCAGGTCCCAAAAGTGAAGAGATATAAAGTGCTGTCGATCTCAACAGCTAGCTAACATCTCTCGCCAGATGTCATCATGGCAACATCGAGGCTAGATTGTATTTGCCGCGGTATAAACCTTCAAGATGATTAGCACAGAAACAGTTTATGATACTGCTATCCATAGGCCCCTAAGTAGTTCCTTGTTATTCTTCATATTTAGAATCCTATAAGGTAATCCCAAAAAGGAACTGTTTAGGGGCCTATGGCTAGGTATGACTACAGGGACTCCCACAAGCCGTGCATTGAGGGAGGAACCTTCACGAAAGCATCTGCGCTGTCGGCAGTGAGCCTGAGAGCTACTGTGTTCTCGGGTGCTGGGAGCCTGAAACCTGGAACCCTGAACCTACCTGGGGATCCACAAAACCTACCGTTTTAAGGGCTCTACCCTCTAGTTAAGGGGTCACAACCTACTATTTTGTAGGATTTGGGGTCACAGGTAAATCCTAAAGAAGCCCGACAACCCTAACCCGAAACCCTAAACTGGAAAACCCAATACAGACAAAGACGAAAACTTGTAGCCCACACCATCCCCGAGTCAGCAGGTGATGGTTGTGAGAAAGGCGTCCATAAAACAGGATTTCGATACGGTACGGGGTCTTCAACGTTTTGGGCATATTAGTTACAGTATCATATCAATATACATGGACTGTTGGGGGGATGCTATGAGCATCTGCCCACCGGATAAATAAACACAACCCTAAACGCAGCCCCAAGATTCTCGAGGGGTTCTGAACTCAATGGTGGTGTTGCCTGCAGTACTTTCTGACTTTAGAGTTCGCCTCTGGAGCTTGTGAAAAGGAGGCCTTGGGCGGGGCATGAGAGACGGGTTTAGGGTAAAGGGTTCAACAGCATCCAAACACTCCCAGTTGACTTTCCCTGTGCAAACACTCGTAGAGAAGATGCTCAGCACCTGAACTCTTAATGAGATCCCATGGGTGACACCTCTGTCCATCCCCACTGCACTCTTCTTCTGGCACAGGTTCGCTTGCTGTAGACAGACCCTTCGAAATCGATGTCCGATGACGGGCTGCAGGGCCGTGCCGGGTAGGTGAAGGAAGTCGAAATACAAGCACAAACTGTTAAGGTCCACACATTATGATCACACTTGTGTCGACCATCCTCAACTACAAGACAGTCTTCCTGTGACATAGGGCGCAGAACATGAGAAGTGCGGTGCACAGACATAAGAGCATGTTCCTCTCGAATTCTCCGCTGCAAGCAAGGAACTCCGTGGAGAAGTCCCAATGGTTGTCTGGGTAGATCCCCGCCTGAGCGACCTCTGCAGATTTTGGGATTTGGGAGTTTCCGAACGTAGGGGTACCTTATTTGGGGGTTCTTATAATAAGGATCCTACCATTTAGGGTACTATCTTAGGGTCCCCTATTTTCGGAAGCCCCCATTTGCCATGTAGAATAAAATCAGCAAAGTAGCTTAGTAGATGCCCAGCTCCCTATATGAAAATGGGATACACTTTACCATGGCCTAGGAACAGTAACGTACTACACAGGCGTATAGGCAACTGGGCTTCTAGGCAGGCTCCCCTCCTTGAGCGCCGGAGGCATGGTTCGGATGAGCGCGACTAAAGACATACTAAAAGTGTAACAAAGGCTCTCTCAGAAATCGGGGGCAAAAGGAGAACACATCCCACACCAGAAAACCGATTCGGTCACGAAATCTCCCCCGAATCCCACGTCCTGCACCCAGAATCCCCAAATCACATCTAACGAGACTACACCCCAAAGGCTCAAGCTCCGCAGACGTTGCATACCGCAGCCCTAAGATTGGCAACAGGTGCAATTGGGGTTAAGGTCTGGTGTTTTAGGTGAAAACTCCATGGCCCCACAATTCACTCCTGGTTTCGGCAAGTGCAGCCAAAAGGCGCCCAGGAGGAGTGAGAAGAAGCTGAGCCCCGTTGGCAGAGCCATGGCGCCCATGGCACTGAACCGTTTTCGGAGTTTTGAGAAGTGAAAGAATAGGATCAATCGTTGCAGGCATCACCGTGATCGTGTGTGTTCGCGGGGTCGCCATACGGGCAAATCGTGAAGAGGATTGAAGGTGTGATTGCCATGGGTTAGATCAACGTGTTCAGGAACAAAGAACCCCGGCATCGAACCAAGCCAAATTCGTCAAGCAAGGTGCCATTGCTGCAAGACGCCGTACCTGCAACTGTCTGCATTTGATCCTCCCCTGCAGGTGACTCTGCATGTCAGGATCGCCTATGAAGCTCGGGGCCAGGTTATTCTTATCATGACCGCAATCCAAAGACACCATGGGCTGACACGGTTTAGGGGTGTAGTATTTAGGGTTTACACCAACACGCTCTCGAAGCTGAGACTGCGACGTCCACGTGCTTGACAAAGCAGTCACGGCCTCACAAAAACGGCATCGGGATGGTTTTACTGGACCCCACGAATACATGTATAAAAGTACAATGCATCGTCTCTGTATGTGTATATGTATACACATATACATATACACATACATAATTGCTCCTGCTCTAAACCCTGAACTGAGCATGTTCATGGTCAAGTCAACCACGAACTGAAACACGTGAGGACAGGTATAGCACAGGGGGGGGGGGGTGCAAAGGATCCGAACGGATCCCTAAACCCGACAAGCTAGACTGAGCTGCGAATGAGAAAGCACCCTGAGAATGTCCTTCCTAGGGCACCCTCTCTCCTGCCATCTTAAAGGCACGCAGCACTGCACTTGGGCCTATTGCCAAAATCCCTAAACCCAGAAGCCTAAACCCCTGAACTCAGAACCCTAAACCCCTAAACCCAGAACCCTAAACCCCTGAACCCAGAACCCTAAACCCCTAGAAAGGGCTTGTCTAAGGCCTTGATGCCATGCACGCCGTATTCGGCACTCGCACACTCGGCCTCAATCCAAAGCTGCCTTTGACTGCCTTCGCACATCGAAGTATATTACAGTATACTAGAGTACATTGTAGTTTGTTCTCGTATATGTTGTTATGGCTGATTGAACAGTATATTATATTCTATTGTAGTTGACTATAGTTGGTTACAGCGTAATATAGCTGGCTATAGTCTTATGATGTAGTCCATTATAGTATACGACTGTTGATGATATAAATCCTGCATTACCTTAAGGACCCTAAACTATGGGAATTATGGTATATTCCTTATTCTGGGTCATTGCAGGGTTTATATCATCAACCGTATCAGTTCATCATCGTCTCAGGAGTCTCAGGTCCCTACCTCGAAGAAAGGGAACTTCAAGAGATTCGTGGCGAGGACGGTCCGGAAGAACCGGAGGATGTCGATCAAGCGGACCTCGTGGTACAAGCTTTCCAGAAGCTGGGCTTTTTGTAACTGGGCTTGTTGTAAGAAAACCCTAGGCCCTAGGCACTAAACCCTGAGGGCTTTGGGTAGAAACCTTAAACTAAACTCTAGGGCTTTGGGTAGAATGGGGCTCAGCTTTATCTCTCGGTCCGAAAGCCAGAGACAAAGTCAATACATCAAGATCAGACCCCCTCTTCACAGATGACTCTTGCTTCTTGTTTTCCCAAGATATCATGTCTGTTGTTCGACTTTTTTATCTGCCCTCCTTGGGCTGAAGATGGTTGAGGGGAGTTCGACATAGCAAAGGGAGGCTTACACACACATTCATGAGGAGATGGTGTTGTTTTTGTTCTGCACCTATGGTCAACTTCGACATCAACTCAACACCGATCCCTTGTCTGACATCACACAACCTTTAAAAGCCTCAAGACCCGCGACCGAAACCCTAAACCCTTTCTGCCTGCTGATCTTCCCTTCTGCCGAAGCCCTCTTGCCTATGAGATCGGACAACCCGACACGGAAGTCTTCAGCAGATGACAGCAGCTCAAACAGCAAAGTTTCAATAATTCGGCAATACGTGGATTGGTGATCTGATAAGATTGTAAGAAGTACTAGTCGTCGTCTTGCACAGACCATTGCCTCAATAGGTTAAGACAAGCAACAACCAAGCACATAGGTACGTCTACGTACATATGGTAGGTGTACGTATGTGTATGTATGCATGTACGTATGTATGTATGTATGTACGTATCTGTGTATGTATGTATGTCATTGATAACTCTGTCCACTGCTAGTGACGCTTTGTAATAATGGTAGCTAGAGTGCCAGGGGTAGGACCTGCTGGGACTGCTAGGAGCATCGACGCAGCAGTATCTTTACTGAAAGCGTCCGCCGCATCTTGAAAGCTCAAGCAACGACTCTCCCTTTCACCAAGCATCGGCCCAGCATCCTCTGACACTTTGTTCATGCCCCTTCCCCCTCCCCCAATGCAGGTCACATGTGCAATGCATAGATAAACAACCCCGCAAAATGAAGTCCTGCAAGGGAGCTGCCGTACACAGACTTTCAACCCAAACTGGGCTGCTTGCCAAACTTAAACCACTTCTTTCTACTGTCCCTGCAGCAACACGAAAACCCAAATACCGTTAGCTTGAGACACTGTACACGAGCATAGCCTACCGTGACTTTGCATGACTATTTGGTGTCACCGACGTAGAGATCCAAAAAGCAGAATTGGTGTTGTCACGAGTTACAAGCCATAAACAACAGCAATACGACGATGATAGATAGATAGATATATATATATATTCTATATAGAGAGAGAGAGAGAGACATATACAGGCATCTGCAAATCCTCCGGCCTCCCGGATGGCGTCCAAGACGCGCAGCCGCTTGACGGCTACGCGGTTGAGGACGGGCTCGCTGAAAGCCTGTTGGCAATCTGAGGTTTGGACTCCCACACTCGCACCAGGCAGGCAAGGCTCCACAATCTGAGGTTTAGGGTTTAGCGTTTAGGCGTTCGGGGTTTAGCTGCTTGACTGGGTCAAGGCCGTCTAGAGATGAGAAAATTAGGATTGTAGAAGGACCCTTTATGGCTAGGCATGAAGAGCATGTGAGGCTTGGAGCTACAGATTGTTTGGGGATAATCAAAGCACTCCCACATGGCTTCTCTGGCTTCTGAGCCCAATGCATTTCTGAGTTCCGTATTCGCGCGTGAAAAACGGGTTTTACCCTCAATAGCTTGCATGGCTTGCGGTCCGCCTTGATTTTGAGGGTCTTGGTTGTCGTAGATTGGATTAAGCAATGCATCTTGAGGGTTAATCAACCCTCATATATGCTTCAAAGACATGTTGTGCCGACATCCGAAGCACTACTTGAGGCCATCCTCCTGCCGTGAAGACGAAAATTTGAAGCACCCAAGTCGCCTAAGCCCCAAGCCCTGCATGCATGCAAACCCTAAAAGAGAATCTGAGCCCACCTGGAGAAGTGCGGCGACCACGGCACCCATAGCACCAACGCAAGCCTCAAACAGGAAATCATAAGAGGCCGCTGAATTCGGTGCTTTGGGGCTTGTCGGTTCTTGAGATCGCACGGATTTCCTTCGACAGCAAATGGCAAATGGCATGCAAATGGCCAAGCCTCTAAATCCCCAAAACCTTGCTAGGGTGCCACGGAGTAAGGTTTGCAATGCCAAGGCCAACGGTGCAAACTTTCATCACGAGCTCGCATGGGACAAAGAATCGGAGAGCACCTGGCGGCCGACACGATGCCAGGTTCCTGAAGGGCAGTTTGACGGTTTAGGGTTTAGGGTCAGGCCCAATCTTGAGTTCGTATTACATAAACTTTGGGACGTATCGACATTGCAACAGCAGGCACGATCCCCGGAAGCTGTGTTGTATCTTCGTGTCGTTGAGGCAAACTTTGTGCCAGGACGCAGAGTATTGCTAAATCACGCCATGTCGCACAAGCTTTGAATTCCAGCCATAGTTTGGCAAACACCATGCGGTTTCAGACAGATCCTCCAACTGAATCCAGATCTTTCGCCAGGATTCCTGACTGTGGATTCATGTAAGTCGGTTCTCTAGCAGGTCTCACATTCGGTAGTTGGATTAGCAGTTAATACATCCAGCCATACACGACTATACTGGCTACACTCGTAGATCAGCGAGCGATCTACCAGATACCGAGACGGAGAGAATGAGACACACACACACACACCCGCACGCGATCACGTGCTCACTGAAAGCGAAAGCTACTGCAACGGTCCCAACCCCTTTCTTCTCGTGGAAGCTTCCAGCGGTCCTCCACCCGAAGAAAACTAGTACCAAATGTCAATGTGTGATAACTCTTTGGACGGGTGGATTCTTGACTGCGTTTGCTTGCCGTAGCAGATGCGGCTAAACATCGATTCCCGGGCATGACTTCCGTCAACATGTTCTTTGCATACCATATCAGCTTAATGCTTAAGCAATTTCATACGGAGTGCAACTACACCCTCAATCACCGTTATCATGTTTCGCAATGTTCCGTGCGCGTTTTCCATTCTGCTGGCATAGCCGTGTCCAGCCTACATCTGCCACTGCACTTGGTACCACTCGGCGGCCAACGCGGCCTGCGGGCCAAGGCGGTGAGAACACAAGAACAGCCATAAACAACCCAAGCCATGATACGCAGCCGCGGCACTCGGACGAGTGTGGTGCCCCGACCAAACTCGCCGGGGGCGAAGAGTCTCCTCGGCAGCAAAGGAAAAAGGGACAAGGTTGCGCTTGTTCTACCGAAGAAACCGACTCAACACATGAAGGACAGGAAGGCATATATCGCAGTTGCACGACGGCCAACACATTTCCGAAATGTCACGCCTAGCATTACAGCTTGGCCTAGAAGCATAGCCTTTGTTGAAGCCCAATCCTCCTCCGCATCGCTATGATTGCTAACTGCCTCATAAACCTAAACCCTAAACCACACAAACCCCCAAACCCTAAAACCCCAAAACCCTAAAACCCCCAAACCCTAAAATCCCGAAACCCTAAACCCCCCAAACCCCCAAACCCGAAAAGTCAACCAAACATTCGTCCGGGCAGCGCGAGGCACCAAGGGCAAAGAGACTGGCCTCGCTTTCGCCAGGCCATGGGGCCCTTGAGGATGGTGGTGAGACGGGCAGGCTTTGGGGTTTAGGGTTTAGGGTTTTAGGGTTTAGGGTTTAGGGTTTTAGGGTTTAGGGTTCAGGGTTTAGGGTTTAGGGTGCCTTTAGTGCTAAAAAGTGTTGTGATGATTGCGATGGTCATTCAATCCTGTTATGATTTTTCGGATTATGACGGTTATGATTGTGATTGTAAGATTCCTTTAATTACCATCATTATTCTGATCCTTATGATGACAATGATTCTACATGTTAGTGTTATTATATTAGTATCTTACTGGTCATTATTGTTGTTATTAATTTCATTGGTCATATATGACTCTAGCTTTCTCCAACAAGCACGTAGTACGCCTAGCAGAAGCGATCACTGCGGTGCGACATCTGGAGAAAGCAAGGATACCTTTCGATTCGATTCGATGTGGTGTTATGAGATGGTCTCGCCAAAATGTGCCTGCGGAGAGATGAAGTGGAGGGACTGCTAGCTACAGTTCCATACGGCAGGCGCACTCAGCTGTGACAGGTGTGGCTGTTTGGGGATGTCGCCAGCGCCTACATGCAAAGCTGTTACTCCTCAGTATCTTATGCTTCTTTTCCAAGATGATATCTTGACCCCCTGCACACACACACAGAGCCACGCAATGGATGAAAGCTCTTCCGAACCCGTCGAGAGGCTTCAAACCTGCCCTAACGAAACTGATTCTTCAGACACCAAGAACCCGAAAGGCTTCGCTGCGCCTCAGCATTTAGTATCTTTACTGGGTTCTTGTTAAGGGTCTACATTTATATAAGCTACTTTAATATAATGAAACCATACTATTTACTATAGATCCCTGTTATGGTAGCTCAAGTCAGTTTAGTCATTGACTCCCCGGTGCCTGCAAGGAGGTGCGCCGGGGCGACATTGGCCCAAGGCTCAGCCCAAAGCATGCTTGGAGGGGTGAAGTTTAGGGTTTCGGGTTCAGGGGCTTAGGGGTTAGGTGTTGAGGGCTTCAGGGGTCTAGCGGTTTAGCGATTTAGGCAGTTAAGGGTTCAGAGTTTACCAGGCCGTTTGGGGTTAAGGCTGGTGGGTCTGATCAGCCTGTGCGGTTTTGAGGGCCGGGGTTCTTCTGTTTCGATTCTTTTCGCCAGCCTTGCAGATAGCAGGTTTCAGGATTCAGCTCTTGGGCATGTATGAAGCTAGCTCAGGACTCGAACACATGATGGCTGAAGGGCTGTAATTAAGTCGGAAAAACAGCTCCCAACTGCAATCCCTGCATCCTGCGTATATGTGCTGCCTGCACACTACCACATACCGCTGTGCATATACTCTCGAAGGACTCACGTCTCCTCAACTGCTGGACATCTGCATGCGCGCGCAGGATTTTGATTCTATATGTTCCAGGCTAGTTGTAGGATCATATTATCTTCAAGATACTTCGCCAGTGTCCCTTGCACAAGAGTTCGAGGTCACGTTACGACTGCCGGTGCACAAGGGAAATTTCGGATTAATGACTTCAGAATCCAGCCCCTTTGTCAATTACTACTGTAGTTATCGACGCATACAGCAGATTCTGGACCAAGCTTGCAGAATAACATGTCTTACTGGATGAATAGTGCTCTCATCAGACTACCACGCAGGTGTTTTTCATTCCAGGCTTCAGGGTTAAGCTGAAATAAGAAAGAAGGCACATTGCGACACATGCATAGTGTTTAGGATCAAATCCATCGGCAAATGATACTGTGACATAGGGTCGGTGTCAACATACGCACAAATGCCATCTAGAAACTCGTGAAGCAGTAGGGTCGTTCGGATCAGTGCTGTCATAAAGGACGCTTCGGGCTACGGTCAGTGCAACAACACTCCTCATGTGCTTATTTATTCTGACCGGAACTTGTGCAGCATGCGCTGCCAATTTCGCGGCTGCCCTGCCCCCCCCCCCCCCCGGGCAAACACGGGGAGAAAACTGCATAGTGACTTGCTCGAGATCCCAAATGATGGGAGCAACAACAGTTTGGTTCATCTTCTGCGCACGCACTTCCGGAGCTTCAGCAGCAATAGGCGCTTGTCCGTGGCTTCTGGCGTGCGACTGCCGAGTGCGCGTCGAACCCTAAATAGCAATGATTACGCAGGATCTTGCGAAGATTGCACCATGATCGCCCCACGTTGGGCCACTTCCTGAGGACTCGCTTCTGTTCGCACTCTCCACATGCAAAGTCGAACCTCTCAGGAAACCGCTGAAATGCAATCTCGTACAGCATCGTCTTCGTGAACCCCGCTAGTAGCAGTCACCGCTGAAGCGCTCATACCGATGATCAATTCGATTCGATTGATGCTTTAACTTTAGCAAAGTAACGAGACAACTATATAATTAGAGATGACTGAACCCTTCGAAGCGCATAGTACAAGTGATACGGCGCGTCAAACTCCAATTACGATGGTACGAGTATACAAGAACCGCACTCGCAACAATGTCAAGGCAACAATCCCCACGCACACGCCTTCAGGTTGCAGTCAAATAAGAGCTAATACTTGGAATGCAGTCGGCAAATCGCTCGCGGATGGTGCTGGCTTCAATCGCCCGAGTCGACCACGATTTGTGAATTACTCTGACGGGAAGCGCCATTGCGCAAAAGGGTTAAGGGCTTAGCTTAGGGCATTCTGTTGCGTGCCAGTGCTAACTTGACCATGCATTGCCAGTTGAAGACCCGCTCTGGAAGTTCGAACTATGCTTGTTTTGTTCCGGCCCCTTCACGTCAACGCTTGCAAAGCACCGTCGTCGCGCTCGGATAGGTCAGTGGCACAGGGCGCATGGGACATGTGCTGTAAGTATTGTTTGGGCTGTACTTGCAGTACATATCGATGGAACCCTGAATCCCAAACTCGGTACCTTGCTTGAGGCGCGGACTTGAATGACTGCCGGCACTGAGACCCTAAACCTTATAACATCCCTAACTCGAAGAAAAAGGGAACAGAGCCGCGGTGCAAACAACGGTTTTAAGTCTCCTCCTACAACTGATATGGTCAGTTATCAATAGATATTAATGCATTCTTGAAAACGGTATGACTATGACTATGATGATGATTACTTTATTATTGTTACTATACTTATTATCATTATTCTTATTACTGCCATGTATTATAATATTATTGTTATTATTATTGCGACAATTATTGATAATTATTGAGTCTCAGGTCTGACACATCACTGCAGCATATCTTCTACTCGGCAGTCCATACCAGCTCGGGGAGCTGGCGCAGGACAGTCCGAACCTGCCCTGTGGTAGGGCTTCTGGGTCTCATTGGGGTTTAGGGCTTTAGGGTTTAGGGGTTTAGGGTTTAGGAGTTTAGGGTTTAGGGGCTTAGGGGTTTAGGGTTTAGAGGGGTTTAGGGTTCACAACTGTTGGGTTAAGGGGGGATGGCGTGTAATTCGGGTTCCAGTAGGGTTTATAGAGGCTCAGGGTTTAGGGGTATAGGTCTTCAACTCTAAACCCCACAACCTGGTTTAAATGTGCCACGAAGATCTTTCCGAAAGCACGACGGCGCGCGAATTCGGCAGCCATGAAGACTTCTGTCTCACTTGATGGGATTGCATGTTTAAGGACTGAAGTTTTATGTCGAAAGCCTCTTGCAGCTTCGGGCCTTTGCGGTGATCCGGTAACTCAAGTCGCCAGATCTGTTGAAGCGACATGACAAACCATCAGGGGAGGCGCAAGAAAGGGCGCTGCTCCTTGGTCGAGTTCGCAGCGTTTGCGTACAGAAGCAGCCTAAGCTGATCATTAATCCTCTCAGCTACGAAACTCGGCAGAGCATCGAGTTTTCCCGGCCGCTAGATGCCAATCGCCAACTCTGCCCGAGACTGCTGGGCCACTCTTTCAACATTGGTATTGCGCAGTAGTCAATCTTGAAACAATACACGTGGCTAACGATCCAGCTCGTGCGAACAGCAGGGAGGCCAAGAAGACTGTGCTAACCCACACTCTGAAAAACAACCCGCAAATCATGATTTTCAAACACCACGCCCTTGAGCCCAAGCGTCTCTTTTCTCCGATGTCGGCCTAAACCCTGAGCCGGATCTACACCCCCTTAGTCCCCCTTCTGAACCCTAGGGTTTGGGGGGAAAAAGAACTAGGGACGCAATCCGAGATCCCTCCGTCGCCCGAATCCCCAATCCGATGTCCCCGACATCCCCCGAACACACTTTAGCACGAAAACTTGCCTACGAACAAAATCCTTGAGCCGAGCCCACAAAACCCTACTACACCCTAAACGGTCAAAACCCTAACCCCGAACACACAACCCTATAGCCTACACCCTAAACGGTTAAAACCCCCGCAGGAAAGCCACAGTTGAGGCCCAGGCGGTGCAAGCACGGCAAAGATGAAGCTGAAAGTCTTGGTGCAACCGCCACCTTCTCAGGTATAGGGTTGGGGTGCTTTATCAGGGCCCGGGGTTATATATAAGGCTATATGGGATTATGGGGTTATGGAAGTATATAGGGTTATAGCATGTAATAGGGCTACAGAGTGATAGGGTTATAGAGTCTAGAAACATTGATTCTAGAGCTCTTCATCTATGTTCGTCTACAGAGCCGACTCTGGGCTTCGCTGCGCTAGAATTGCTACCTGCATAGCGCGCTACTGTGTATGCTGACATGGAAAGTTAAAAACTCTACGGGTAACTTCAAGGGTCTAACACTGAGAGTCCGCAAGCCTGAGATCTCACAAAGTCTCCGGGCAAGGAATGACAGTGGTATTTCTTCAAGCTTCTAAAATAGTCGCATCGGTACTATACTACTGACTCGGGGTTGCAACCTTGCGCGAGTGCAGGGGGAGTTCGCAGGCGACGACGACTTCCGAACATCTGGGGAGGGGCGGAGTGGATGAATGAGAACCATGCGAGGATTGGTCACAAATGATGCATGAAGAACTGAGTGGGGCGAACATCAGCCACAAAATATTTCCAGCATGCTGCAACCTTGTCCGAACCGTGCAGCACCGCGGAAGCAGAGCATCTGTCTGTCGTAAGGTCTTATGCTCTGTGTGGTTTCAAAGTCGGCCAGCGAAACCTCGCACCCTCGACTCAATTGTTCTGCCCTAACCTTGCTGCTTGTCACTTTGCAGTCCAAGCCAAACCCGGACCCCAACAACAACCATCGACTCCATGACAACCGGAAACGAAGTGATTGGGAAACGCCTCCCAAATTCACGCTACATCAAGCTCGACATCGCCCACTGGTTCAACAAGGAGTGTCCGAATCCGAGACTTCTTGAAGGAATACAATTACATTGAGTTTCCCTTGAAACCTAAAGTATCGCAATGTCCTAAGCCCGAATCCAACGATGAATGGCTCAGAATCCACCCTATGCATCTCTCACCTGGAGCGGAGGTCTGCCTGTGTTTCCGTGACCTGGTCATCAAGAGCTCGATGAATCTTTGGCTACGAAGACCGTGAGGAAGCTACATATCCATCCATCCATCCATCCACCCATCCATCCATCCAAACCCTCCAGCAAACCCTGAACGTGCAGCGCACCTCTCTTAGAGGCCGGCTGGGTACAACTCTGGCCCCCTCTATCCGTCCGTCCGTCCGCCGTCCATCCATCCATCATGCACAAGCATGCATCCACAACTACTTATAGTAGCAATTAAACCACAGGCACTCGAATCACTCGAATAAACATCATGCCTTAAGGTACCGTGGTTCTGCGATTGGCACTGCGTCTGTTGCTGATGTTCCAATAACTACGTCTCATCGAATGCTGAATTGATCGTCAAATCCACTTGGTGCTGCAGGGTCTGCATGTGACAAAGTCTGCACGAAATCTCAAATTCAAGAAGCGGGTGTGAGCAAGCCGTGAAGCTCTGCGCACCTCCTCGAACAGCCTCCCGAGGGATGCATGGAGACCTGCCTGGCAGCTGTTCAAGCTGAAGTTTTGCGCAGCAATGA